GCTTATAATAAATAGGGGTAATTTAGTAATTTTACGCTATTATTTTAGAAATAATCTGTCATAGGGAACCCGAAAGGGGCGCTGTGGGGTGCTAACACCTTCCCCACGCGTAACCGACTCCCTTACCCAACTCTGGTTGTAATGGCCAAAGTTGATTTATAAAATCAATTGCCTTATCCCTTTTTCCAATGTTTTGAGTAAAACATTGGTGGCGACTCCACGAACCCTCCTTTTGCGAAAACCACTAATCCATAGAGGGTCCCGCTTGGGATTAATATGGATTGGTGAGACATTTAATAAATAAATTGGATAAGATCGACAAGGTCTCAGTTTGAGAACAAGTCTTTCTAATAATCCAATACATTTTCAAAACTAAAATAAAAGCGAGCTCGACCGTCTTCGCGACCGCCGAGGCCCGTTTGGGCCGGTGGCGACAACAAGGAAGGCGTGTTATCTATATGAAACGTAAAATAGGTTGCAAAGACATATGAGAATTCAACGGATATCATTCTCATTGATTTTTGTTTAGAGAACATTCTTTGCATATTATTATATGTGCCTTCCATTTCTAATAATTGTATGCTAATGTACTATCCTAGGAGATGCATGATATATTTATTTTCTGTCTAAATTTTATCATGTTTTTGGCTAAGGGTTATGATGCATGATTTCTTTTGCTATATTTTTATTTGTTATTTTTTATGAATAAACTATCCTATATGATGCTTTGAGGTTTAGGTATATCGAAGGGAGTTAAATTTTTATCATATTTTTTATTAATATCTATTCGTTTATAATTCTTATCCATTTGAAATGAACAAAAAGAGAACACCACAAATGCAACACACATATGCTCAAACAAATGTACACCTGCGAATAGTCACATTTAAATCCTTGGTCTGTGGTCCCTGCAAGAAAAGTGCATTGTATAGGACAGTTCTAATCTCACTGGTCTTAAGGCCCCCAAGGTGCCCCAATTATAGGAACCCAGTATCTCTGTCGCCGTCACCTGGCAAACTCTAAGGTCTGTCGCAGTATTTCGGGCTAGAGTAACCGGTTATCACCTAGAGTGTGATTTCCGACAAGGCTCGCAGGCTCCAAGGCCAAATTTGGGCCGGTTGTACGTCAATCACTCCCTATGTTTATTACCCTCATGCCCCCAGGTGTAGGGGGAACTGTTATGTGCAAAGGATTGTGTACAATTTTTATCTCAAAAAGTGCATAATTTAAACAAGCAAATAGATATTAAAGCCAAACAAATAAAGCAAATAAAGTAAAGGGGAAAAATATTTAAATTATTATTTTTATTTTATTAACTTCATCAATTAAATCGGTCTGACCCTCTTAAAACGTCCCCAGTGGAGTCGCCATCTATCGCAACCCGAAAATTTCCGATCTTGCGACCTATGGTTTAGACATCCTTTTGAAAATCTCATCAATTAAGGAATGCCCGGACGCCAGACTAATCCTTAATCAATGGTTTTGAAAATAGGTTCATGGAGTCGCCACCAATATTTTACTCAAAACATTGAAAAAAGAAAAGGTTTTTAAAGATCCAATAATGACCTTGATAACCAGAATTGGGTTCGGGGGTCGGTTACGTGAGGAAAGGTATTAAGCACCCTTACAGTGCCCTCAATCGGTACCCTATGATGAAGTTAACGTGATAAGAAAAAATAAATTAAATATTAGATCCCCTTTATTAATAATTATTTACATACTTGAAATTTAAATAATACAGTTAACTCTAAAATGTCTACATGATTATTTTTATTATAACAATAATTATTATAGATAAGAAATAAAAACAAAGAGAAAGAAATTAACTGAAATACCTCTTGAATGAGCTCTATTGGATCTTCAAAATAAGGAGATTTTAGGTGCTTTGTGGCAACCTGAGATTTTAGGTGCTTTGTGGCAACCTTTCGCATTACAATTGCCTCACAATATTCAAGAAATACAATAGGAGAGAGAGAGAGAAAAAGAGAGAAATTTCGAGCTCTAAGGAGTGCTGGACGAAATTTTTGGGGTCCCTTGAACTGTGCCCAAGATTTCTTATTTATAGGCATCAGACGTGGGCCGGAACGACCCGTTTTGGACTCGGAACGGCCCGTTTCGAATCCGAACGTTATGTAGCATTTTCGTACCCTAGAACGGCCCGTTCTAAAATCAGAACGGCCCATTCTAGGGAACCAGAATGGCCCGTTCTGAAGTGAGAACGGCCCGTTCCGGGGTACAAATTTTAGGCCCTTTGATTGGTTTAGAATGACCCGTTCTGATCCGAGAACGACCCGTTCCAGACTTGGGAACGGCCTGTTTCGATTTTGGAACGGCCCGTTCCGAGCCACTAAAATAGTTAATTTAGGTTTTTAGGCCCTCTGATGTCCTATCTTGTTGTTTGTTTGCCCCTGGATGAAATTGAGTGTCTACAATCGACACATGGGAAAGATATGACATCTGGTATTTCCTTGCCCAAGAAAAAAGGAGGTCAAAAAACAAGCCCATCAAAAGCCCAAATTCAAAAGTTAGGCTCATCTAGTGGCTTGTCAAGTCGACTTCTTCTCTACCAAGGGAGGTTGTAATAGCAAGCTCTCGTGAGCTGGATAATTCAAGAAGAGTTCTTGATGGGCTACATGACTTTCAAGCCTTTGGATGTCATTTACATCTTCTGGAACGCCTAACAACTCATGTAGAGACTCCAGATTCAGAAACTTTAACTCTAACTAATGCCTTTTGGGACCATTTTAATTCCTTTCAAGATAGCCATGTTACTTCTCCTAATGGTGACTATGAAATGGTTGTGGTGGTGCAACATGACAATACAGAGATTTCTAAGTCTCAACCCTCTAATATTTTCCAACGAATTTTTTTATGTTGGAATTGTGGGGGACGAGTAGTAAAGGCTTTACTACCTTGATGAACAATATTATTAAAGAGTATAAGGTAGGCCTTCTCTGTCTGTTAGAAACACACATTAGCAATGATAATGCAACGTGTGTTGTTTGTGGGATTTCCCTTGACTATCTTTCTTGGTCCATGCTCAAGGTCAAGCAGGTGCGGTTTAGTGCTTATGGGACAAAAACCAATGGTTATTGGAAGTTTTGAGTCATTCTTCAAAATATATCCATTTTAAAATTCTCAATGGAAGCAATTCATGGTACTGTACCATGGTCTATGCTAGTCCCCACATCCAGGGACGTGTACAACTTTGGAGGGATCTCTGTATGATTGCTACTCAAGTGGATGGCCCATGGAACCTGATGGGAGATTTTAATGTTGTTCTGCATTCATATGAGCGTCAGGGTAGCTCGCCTAGTTCCTCAATTCGGGGTGACAATGCTTTTCGGAAGTTTGCTAACCATTGTAGCCTTATAGATATTGGCTATCAGGGTGCTCCCTTCAATTGGCATAGAGGTCTTTTATATGAACATCTTGATCGATCCTTAGTCTCTTATGATTGGCATATTAGCTTCCCTGATGCATCTCTCATTCATCTCAATCCTTTCAAATCAGACCACTCCCCCATTTTACTTCATTTTGGCTTAGATGAGAATCTGAGAAGAAGAAAGAGACCATTTGGATTTGAAGCCGCGTGGCTGACCCATGAAGCCTTTCAAGGTCTTATGCAATGAGAGTAACATGTTGAAGAAAATTGGAACCATAGAGTTGATCATATGAAAAAGCCTTGCTTAATTGGAATAGTCACACATTTGGATAGAGTCCCGATCATAATGAAGAGATCATTGATGTCTAACCTTTGGCGAGGAGTATGTCAAGTTTGGGACATGGTGAGAGCAAATATTAGATGGAAACTAAGGAATGGTCATTCAATTCGTTTCTTGTTTGATTTGTGGCTGCCTCACTTGACAGATATTATTTCTTTAGCAACCACCTTTATCCCGTCTATGGAATTATCTAAAGTTGTAAGTGATTATGTTAGTAGTGTAGGTACTTGGGACGTGGAGCACTTACAAGCTTTTCTTCCCCAAGATATCTGAACTACGGTGATCAATCAAGCCCCTCCACAGTTGTAGCAGGGGAGGATATGGTCACTTGGAGCTTAACAAATGACGGGATATTTACTATTAAATTAGCATATGACCTTACTTATCAAGTTCATAATCGACACTCGAACCCTTTATTCAAGGTAATTCAACTCATGATAGTTTGTTGACTAATAGTGCACGTGTCCGAAGGAGGTTATCTTTTGATAATAAGTGTTTTGTGTGCATGCATGAGGTGGAAGACACGCTTCATGTGTTTCGTTGTTGCTCTTTTTCCCAAGCGGTGTGGTCTAGAATTACTGTTGCTTCTACTACAATGTGGGCTTCCCAAGCTGATTTGCAAACTTGGTTGCTCCAAAATCTCTCGGGTAATAGAGATATGTCCTTCAATTGGAATGTATGGTTTGCAATCACTCTGGACTCACTTTGGCATAGACGCAATCGTCTAATCTTTCAGAATGAAATGATATCAACAAATCAGCTGGTTGTAGAGATTCACAATCGACTTTGAACCATTATTGTTGGTGATGGCTTCTCTAGATTGAACATGTTCTTCAGGCACCACAATCAACGATTAAATGGTTGCAACCACCACACGACTATTTTAAAATTAATTGTGATGGTGTGGTGAATAGGAGCGGGGAGGCCTCTTGTGTTATCAAGGCTTTTTTTATTAAACTTGGACAGTATTCTATCATCCATGAAGAGCTCTGGGCTATCTTACATGGTCTCAAATATATTAGGGATTGCAGGCTACGAACTTACTTTTTGGTGCAATCTAATTCCTTCACAATAATTAAATTCATTAATGAAGGATGCTCCAATTCTCAAACTGTTTCTTCTAATCACATCTTTAAAGAAGCCAATATAGTGGCTCATTTATTTGTTAAATTTAGTTTAGAATTAGAAGAGGAACTTACTGTTTATGATGTTCCTCCAACGTTTATTCTTTCCTCCTTATTAGCAAACTTTTTTGCAAGTTCTCTTATTAATGATTAAGTTCTTGGGCTTTAAGCCCTAATGATTACAAAAAAAAATCCTTTGAGGTTGAATAATAAATTCTATGAAATTACATGTAATAATAAAATTTACTAACAAAAAGAGCTATAATCATAGTGAAAAATATATCACATGAGTAATTAGAAAATAATATAAAAGACTTTTTGAAATTTTCAATTAGTTTTTGTATGTTTATATAATTTTTACCATGTTTATGAAACTCTTTTATTTGAATTTTAATTGCATTCAATCATTTATATAAATGAATTTAATGAGATAAGTTTTAGATCTTGAATTAATAAAAAAGGGATTTAAAATATGTGTCATAATTGAAAATAATAACTATTTCAAAAAGATCAAATTGATTCAAATTTAGGAAATAAATAACTAAAATAAATATTTTAAAAAATAAAAAACTAAGAAAATCTAAAACAAAATAAGATTAAAGACTAAATATAATTTAGCCTTTTTAAATTACCGATTTATATAATTTTTAAATAATTTATATATTCAAATATTTTAGTTAAATATAATAAATATTTGAATAATATATATATAT